TCAGTGTCTCTTCTTGAAATTTAAAGCTCTCAGTCAGCTTTAATTTGACTTCATCAGCAGTTTTAACTGGTCGTCATCACATTTTTAAGAAATTACATTTTTGATAACCATCCCCAGGGAGATCCTGGTGTGGATTTGGAGCCTTGGTCCAGTGCTGGAGGAAGCAGATCAGTCAGATACATGGAAACTTAATAAATATCCAAAACAAGCACATGTTTAAGCTAGCTATTGGACACTACTCAGAAATTCAGAGTTCCTTGAAATTTTTATACAAGAATCAAAATGATTTAATGTCTAAATTACAGATAAATGTTTAACAAATCTTAACAGTTTGCAGATTTTATTCTTTACTTTAGAAAGCTCCATGGAAAGCCAATAAAATAACAGTAAACCGCAAATATTTGTGGCCGATATTGGCTCTTTTTATTCGGTATTTTCATGCATTGGCTAACTCATTAGTGCATTCAGCATCTGTGCTTTGAGATCACGTGTAGCGCATGCATTGCTGCTCCCTCCACTTCTCATCCATGGTTAATGTTACATTTAACTGGTTAATAAATGTTTCTGTTTGGTTTAAATTGAGCCTTATCTAACATTCTTTATCTTGCGAATGAAGGAAGGAGAACCAAAATCAGCTAAGAATCATCCCACAAATCTTGGCAGCATGTATCTGGGATTGATTAGACGGATGTCAAAGTGTAACATGCATCGGTCGATCTCGAATTCTTACTTAATCTTTGTCTGACAGCTGGCTTATGACATCGACAGAGAGGCGGAGGATCAGAACGACTACTTGGACAACATGGTGAGTCATTCTTGCCTCGCTGATATTTATTTTGAATATTTTTCTCTGTAAAGTTAAGATGTTTATCCCTTTTATATTCTTCTCTAATGCTACGTTCACACCTAAAGCAGCAAGAGCATCAAAATTGCGTCTGCTGCTTCATTTTTGATGCTTGTACAGTTTAGTTCTGACGTGCAGCTGAAGAATCTTTGCTGCTTTAGCTGCGCGGTGGGAAAGTGGGTCTGATGTGTGTTGGGTGGAGCTACTCTATCCTTTCTGTGCCTGTAACAATGGCAGCTATATATTCTGTGATCAGTGGGTAAAAAGTAGTTTTAATATGTTTTTAAGTGAGAAAGTCCACATTAAAACTTCATCTGTGCAGTCAGTTCATCCAGATTACGATCTTTGATTCAAATATTATTTTGCTGTCGGGGCCGCTCAGACGCCCACATACCGGCTATGCGCTGTCAGTAGGAATCCCATTCAACAGCAGCCTATAGCCCGGTCGCCTCTTCGCGGTTTTCCGCAGCGGCTGGTAGGCGGTTTTCATGTACGTAATCCAAACTCTGTGCACCCGGATAATAAAAGCGAAAATCTTTTGCTGGCAGATTTCGGCATTTTAGGTTAATTTAGGCGTCAATAAACTGTTTCAGAGGAGTGATCATAGTGATCTGTATCATCAGCGATGTGTCTCTCTCCCCACCAGCTCCCAGATCAGCTTCTCTGATTGGTTGATGCAGTGCGTCGAGCAGCAAAAGTTAAAATTTTCCAACTCCAGCAGCAGCTGCGTTTGCAGTGTGTCATATGCCCAAACGCTCATGACGCACTGCACCTGCTGCTCAAAACACACTGCGGGACCTTTTGCTGCGCCTTGATGCGCGTCAACCATTAACTTTGCATGTAAACTAGCTGCTTCTGCTGCTTGCGGTCTGAATGTAGCATAAGGGTAGCACTCCTTACAAAGTGAAACATTTAGCTCTGATTAACGTTCATGCCCAGCTAACGAAGTGCAGGTAGACATTTTAAGCTTTATATTGACAGAAACTGAAGTTATAATAACTTTCTACTTTCAGGACTCCAACTTCCTGAGTGCGACCGGCCTGCTAACCGGCAGCGTCAAGCGGTTTTCCACAATGGTCCGATCCGGCAAAGACAACAGACGCCTCCTCTGCTATGTGTCCGGGGGGCTGGTCCTGGCCTTTTTTCTTCTTTACTACTTGATTTCCAGGATCCATAGCTGATTTCAGGACAGCATCATCAACCAGGGAGCCACTCTGATGCCGAACTTAATCTGAAAAATCTTAGCTAGGATGGAGTTATCTCTAAGGCTATCTGCTAAGATAATCCCTTTATAAGAAAAGAAACTGGATGTATATATGTGTATGTTTAATTGAATTGATGTACAGCGCGGGTGAAACTATATGGGGTGTTCTTATGCAAGCGTTTATGGAGTCTATAGATGGTGAGCGGGGAGCATATCAACATAGCTATGCTACCTTTGTGCAACCCTGAGTAATCCAAAGTTCAGGAGGAAGAAAGCTTTATTCAAACACATCGAAGAGTGGACTGGGATCGACACAACCTTTAAACGTCCTTGTGATCAACTGAGAGACATTGACGCAGAACAGAGGTTTTAAATGGACTGAATTTTCACTCTGTTAAGTCATGGCAACATAACGGCTATGAGAACCAGGTAGGCCAATAATTGTGGTTACAGCTGAGCGGCAAAGCCTAATGATCAGAATTTCTCCCAAATACGATTTAATAACAGAACAAGGATTGATTTTGGCTTTATATTGCTGAGTAATTGATGGAATGTCTCATTTTGAGCTTAAAAACTTTAGTCCTGTCCCAACATTTAGATTCAAACAAAAACACCTGTTGCCAACTGATTGAATTTCTTTTTTTTACTACTTTGGTCTTAAAAACTAAGATCTGATCCAATTGACTTTAAACTTAGTGTTATATTTATAGCTCTGTATCCATCCAGTTAATGCTAATTTGCTCTCCTGCAGTCTATGAATATTCAGGAGAGCCAGAATTGTGCATTTAAGAACCACTAACAATAAAGTCCCTCATTTAATGTTCACTGATAGTATTGAAAGAATTTCTATCAAACATTGAATGAGGGAAATATTATTCAATGTTTGCTAAAAATTCTGTCATTACTTTCAGCAAATGTATCTTTGCTCACGAGATTCTAACTAATACCCTTTTAATGTTTAGGTTGTTTAGCTGTTTATTAGTTTAGGAAAAAATGAAGAAATCTGACCAAAATATACAGATAGTTTGATTTATAATCATGTTTTCAGTAAATTCCAATGCAACTTTTTTTTTTTTTTTTTTGCTTTCCTACCTAAACGCTGGTGTTAAAAACCCAAGGGAGAAAACTAGTTGAGATTTATTAAGTTTACTTACTGTTTATATTGGATTATTTAGATTTTGACCAGGAAATGTTTAATATTTTCTGCTGGGTTATTTGTACATAGTGCTAAAGCATTTTGTATAATAATAAATCTTGTTGGTGGTGTGACAGAATTGATCTCTTGACAAGGTAGAAAATTAAACGGCTCCACTGCTGCTACAAGCCCCTCCTAGTTCATTAAACAGATTTGAAAGAAGACTTTATTTTAGGCTTTTATTTATCTGAAACGATTAATCAGAATAATCGATTATTGAAATAATCATCAACTAATTTGGTAATCGGATAATCATTTATTGGAGTAGAGACTCTCAAAAATGCCTTAAGCTGACAGAGCAACCCACTTAGAGCAGCAATTATATCAACAAAAAAAAGTAAATATTTTGCATTTAAAAAAAACAAACATTTCCATCAGTCAATATGCTCTATCCAAAACTCCTCAATTGAAAGGTTTTAGTTTCACTTGGTTTAATTACGTAAAAAGTCTTATTAAAGGAACCTTTTGCTGTCCAATTATGAATTGATTAATAAAAAAAAATAAATTTACAGATTAATTTGCAAAATAATTGTCAGTTGCAGACCTACTTTATTTTATTTGTTTTAATGAGTTATGTGTGTGTTAATGTTTCTGTGTAAAACAGTTGTTAGACTGCAGGTTTTACAGTGAATTTTAGATAGAAGGTCTGTTTCCCACTGAGATAAAGAAATTAGTTGCCCTGTATTCAAAGAAATGGGCTAAAATGAAAGTACATTTTCAGCTCTTTCTTCAATAAGATTCAACCAATGAAAAACCTCTTTACTGAATCTGGTATAAGAAAATTGTTTGGTTTAGTTCATTTTGATAAATTCGTTTTTCCTAAGGATCAGATATTTAACAATGATTGTAAAGAAAATCAAGGAATTTGACTTTGATGTTACAGCGCACATAGAAACTGTATGTTTTCAGTTTTCTGATAAGGATAAATTAAGTTTTTTTATTTTTTCATACCTTTGTCCTTGATAAGCAAACATATTGTTCATCACTAACCAGCAATATGAGGAAAAAGCTGAATAGCCACATCAAAGTTAAAAATAGACGATAGAAATGAAAGGATTGCGCTGAATTCTAATCTGATCAATATTTATTCTCTAAAAATGTAAAAACAAGGTTGATTTATGAAGATGGTTAGAAAGAGTTTGGGGAATTATTCCAAAATTAGCTTGATTTATTTTCATTTCCATAATGTAAATATATAATATTATTGTAATAACTAAATAGTATATGCGTATGCATTATTTGTCATGTCTTAATATGCAATATGTTTGGTATTAAACGGTAAAACGAATAAAATCGAACTATAAACTACTTGAACCTTACATCAATTGTACATTTTGGTTTAAAAAACATTTTAGTGTAGCTCTTTGGTCTTTGTGATTTAAACCTATAAGATCTTATAATTTTATGAGGTAAATATATTTTAAAAATCACCATTAATGCGCTCTGTCAGAGCTGAAAGAGGAAACACAGAAAAAAAACCCATTATCATTGGCCAGTTTGCCATCGCGTCGACTCGGATTCCGTCAGCGTTTTCCGGTTTATCGCTTGCAGTAGATTTGAAATAAAAATAAATTACAATTCCCTTAAATTTATCCGGATACGCTTGCCTTTACTTGCATACCTCCACGAAATGTGTCTATTTTTATTTTTTTGTTTTTTGTTAGCGAAAGGCTGGTCGGCTCCGTCACCTGTGCGTCACTTAATGCGGCTCTCCGGGAACCTTGAATGTGCTTCTTGGTTCCGCAAATGCTCGGCCCTATTCGGTTCTTGTCGTTTAGCGAAAGAATGGACGAGGCAGCCTCGGCCACGAAGGCACTCGGGCTGGATGAACCGCCCATCGGCGGGTCGCCGGTGGAGGGAGTGGGCTCGGATACGGAATCGGAGGCCGAAGCCGCTCCGATGTCTGTTATAGCGGAACCGCCAAACATCGACATGAGAGCCGAGCCGAACCCGGACGAGGCCGAGGCGGCTTTCGCAGGTAGGCAGCAGCAGCAGCAGCTCAAGGCTATGGCTTTTCAGGACAGTTAGAAGCCCGATGTAGCATTATTTATTTTATGTCTCACATAAAAACACACAGAGCAAAATGCTGCATTTTAAAACAACCATCAAAACTCTACGGTTCACAGTAAAACCCAACTTTATTCAAATGTAGCTTACATTCTCCAGCAAGATACCTTTATAAACTCACCTACACTACGAAATAGATCTAGAAATAAGTCAGGATTTCTAAAATTAAGTGTATTTGTCCTTAATTTGAGTAGGTATATAAGATGATTTGCCAATGGAATGAGTATTTTTACTCTTAACGGAGATAACTAGATAATATGCACTTGTACGGAAGAGGATTAGGGCCACTGAAAAAAACCACTGATTTTTAAATATTATTTCAGTTTAATATGCCAAGATTTTCAGAATTCTGACTTGAATATAAGAATTCTGACTTTTTCCTCATAATTCTGACTTTTTTCCTCATAATTCTGAATTAAATCTCAGAATTCTGATTTTTAATCTAAGAATCCTGACTTTTCTTTCTCAGAATCCTGACTTTTCTTTCTCAGAATTCTGACTTTTCTTCTCAGAAATCTAACTTTAATCTCAGTATTCTGAGAAAAAAATTAGAATTCTGAGATTGAAGTCAGAATTTTGAGATAAAAGCCAGAATTCTGAGAAAATTCTGTCTTTTTTCTCATATTATACTGAAATAAAATCTTTTTAAAATCTTTTCTTTTTTTTTCAGTAGCCCTAATCCTCTTCCGTAGTACATTAATCATATATGTACAAAATTATATGTGTACATTAATATATGTACATTTAGGGAATATATGTACCTGAATGTAAATTAAAAACTGCAACTTTAACAAGCGCAGAGGTTATCAGAATAAATGAGAGAGACCTTTTGGCTGAGAAGTCAGAGTTTGATTAAGTTTGATTCAGTTTTCTATTCAAATAAATTTGGAGGCTGACCATAAAATCTGAGACTCACTGTAAGCAAGACTTTAGGACATTCAGATGAGGCCCCTGCAGCTACTGGGGGCCCCAAGTTGTTGGAAAAAATCTCCTTCGAAGAATACATTGGGTGTGTGGATAAAGTAGTTACTGGCTGTTAAACAGCGTTTCCAAGATAACTCAAACAAGAAAATGGATTTAAGTGCTTTTTATACATTTTGATCTCTTTATTTTTAACATTTAAAATGTTTCATATTTCTGTCTTCTGCCTTCATAATTAGAATTTGCCTTTTTTTTTTAACAATTTCTTCAATTGTCTTCTGGCATATTACTTTCTGCACACACACACATAGACTTGTTCAGCTATATGTAGTGAGGACCATGTGTTTACTCCCATTGACTTCCATTGATTTTCAGTCATTTTTAATCCTTTCAATTCCCTAACCCTAAACCTAACCATTACCAATCCATACCTCACCATAACACAATTCACACCTTAGCACTAATCCATTAGCAAAATACCTTGTGAGGACCATCAAAATGTCCTAACTGCACAACAACTAGTCCTCATCCGGATGGTGAAATTGGAAAAATGGTCCTCACTCTGATGCCTAGACAGGTACGAAACCTAGTTAACCACCAGAGGGAGATTCATAGATGTTTTATTTTTATTTCCACAGAAGAAAAAGGTATCCTTTTTCCACCCTCTTAACATCCAAACTGTTTCCACTGTGAACAGGGACCAGATACCTGCATTCAATACTCGCATCATTACGTCTTTATTATCATTATGTTACAATCATGATATTTTTTTTATATATATATATATATATATATATATATATATATATATAAAAATATATATATATATTTATTTAGGTGCATGTATGAATGTAAAGACACAAATAAAAATACTTATAGAAAGACCAAAAGTGAGCATCATTAGGGGAGAAAAAACTGTGTCAGGCTGCACGTTCCTAAATGTTTTTCAGAATGGATGAATGGAGACAGTGGGTTGTTGGGATAGACTGGATCTGCAAGCGATGTGTCCAGATCCAGTAGACGGCAGCATCCTGTTCTGTCTTCAGTCCTTCCTCTTCTGGAGGCTTTCAGTCATCACCTTGTAATATTTTGTGAACAGCTGCATAGGAATACTAGTACCTTTCGGCTTTCTAAGGAAGAGGAGTTGTTCCCCCTACATTATCCTAACTTTGATACAACTGCTTGTTGCTCAAATTAGTTCAGAAATAATTAAAAAATGAACACTTCAAAAATTAAACATTTTTGGTATTTAATTTTATTTTATTGTCTCCATTTATTAATTTAATGTAGTTTCCTTGTATTAATTGCAGAGCTGCGGCTAATGATTATTATGCAAATCGATTAATCTGTCAATTATTTTCTCGATTAATTAATTAATGATCTGGTAGCCAAAGGTTACTTAAAGAAAATTTTTTACAAAATTAAACCACTCGAGGAGTGCTGGATAGGGCATATTGACAGATGAAAAAGTTGTTTCTATTTCCATGCAAAATGTTTATATATTTCTTTACAACTTTGATGTAATTACTGCTCTAAGCATGTTTTAAGGTCTCTATACCCGAGTTAACGATAAATCTATTATTAAATTAGTTTTTGATTATTTCAGTAATGGATTAATCTGATTAATTGTTTCATTGTAATTTTTTTGTACCTTAATATTTTTTTTCTTTTGTGATTGATCAGAGGTGACGTCAGTGACTGTGAGAGATGTGCAAGCTGCAGAGGACAATGTTTTCACCACCACCGTTGCCACATCAGGAAGCCTTCCTGAGCACGTGCTGGTAAATATCTCATTGGCAGATGTGGCCAATATCTCCATGTTTTTTTTTTAATTAAGTTTATTTAATGGAGAAATATATGACTAAAGTCCACTTTTATAAATGCTCTTTAAAAAAAACAAACTCAATTTTATTAGTAAATCCTCAAAAAACGCCGTTTAGCTCTTATATCTTTTTTTCTCATCAGGGTCATTGATAGGTTATATAAAAACAAGCTGTTAACATTTTATTAATTCAGGTTTTAAATTATTAATAATAATAGTATACTATTTGCAGTAAAGTTAGAATTTTTTACTATCCTTGCTGCAGTGCTAAAAGTTTGTACATTACCTGTTCAGGGTTAGGTTTTTTTTTCAAAAGTTACTTTCAATCTGTAATAAAATGCCACACAGCTGGTCAGCGCAGCATCCCAGAAACCTGGACCTGATGCCATCCGCAGCGTATTATGAAAGAATATAATCCAGAGAGCAATACAGCAATTTCCCAGCTTGGGATAAAAAAAAAACTGTTTGTCTGATACTTAAAGTGATAGAAGTGAATTTTTTATGATTTCGTTTCTTTTATTACTTCATTTTCTTTTTAAATACCCACATTTCACAGAACTTTATAGTTTAGTCTTTCTTATAATAAGTTACTCTGCCCTTAGTTTAGTTCTTACTTGAGTAATTTCCTGGATGGCTCCTTTTCACTTCTGCTTCAGTAAAAATTGTCAGGAGCTCAGAGGTTTGGACCCAGAATTCAGACGAGACAGACAGTGAAGCTTTAAACGAGTTTATTGAAACAAGCTGCGTGCGGCTGCTCATCAGCTGGCGCGGGTTCACTGGATACGCTGCGGGGATATGGACTCAGATAAATATCACAGAAGCTTTGATGGAAGAAATCCGAACTCT